TATGCTTTGTTGCACCCAACAACTAATTGCTCGAGCTGCACTAGTTCTAAACATCTTTGCAGCATAATGTTTTTGTGATAGATAGATTTCTTGACTTATTGACAACTGGTAAAGCCAATACAAGCACTTTTATACTAATGATATATCCATGTTTGGAACAAAATTTCTCTTTGTACAAGATAAGGGTCTATAAGAACAAGGAAAAAAAACCCAGATGCAAAAAATATTGGCAATAAAGATAGCATATAGAGTATAGTAGAGGTAATTATTTTAAAAATAGTTTTATATGTTAATTTTAGGAATTTTAAAATTATTCACTTCAATTGTTGAGTATAGTTGGTAGACACAGGGATGAATGAAGGATTGTTCTGAAGAAAACTGTGATGCCACCTATAAAGATAATGATGTGGTATCACAAACTATCTACAGATTGTCCAAAAAGTCGTCAAATCCATCAAAAGATTGAAATATTTTAAAATATTCCAATTTCAATTTCCCCTTTCTAATTTTATTGCGTTTCGCAACTTCTTGCCTGATATCCTTTATTTCTTCAACAATTTCTGATTGGCTCCTGCCCCAAACTTGACATGCCTCCTTTATGTTTGAGGAGGCAAACCTTCTTTTTGATGGAGTTTTATCTCTTCTAGGTGTAGCAGGAGTTTGTTGACTTGTTCCTGTGAGATAAGAATTTTATGTTAGCATTGTCAAATGTCTTTAGATAAAGTTGAAGAAATAAATTAAAGTAGTGCATTAGAATAAAATAATTGTGCCTGCTTCTGCAATTTCCTCCACCTCAATATTAACTGGCTGGCACAGTTCAACTGGATATAAATCTGTAATCAAAATAAACAGTTTTTATCCTTCTACAAATAATTTTGGTAGTACATACTTTGGTTGGTACTCTCCAATAGAACTCCAATAGACTGAAATGGGAAATCGCATGGCCCTATTTAATATTTAAACAATTTCTGAAAGAAACTGTTGTGATCTCTGTCATTTCTTATCCTTTCATTGCAGCAGTTTTTTTAAACAACAATTTTAAAAGCAAAAGACATACAAGTGAAAGTTGAGCACCCAATAAAAAGCATTTTACATTAATCAATAAATGAATCAGAAATCATTATACAAACTTCAGTTTTGTACACGCCCTACTCTCTTGTAGGTAACTAGTAACCAATTGATAGCTAAGCAACAAAAATTGGGCATTTTTGAGTATCCTCTAGTAATTAACAATCAAGTACAAACTAGTATCCAAATTTTGCTACTTTTTTTTTTGTGTGTTTTGGCTTGGACAATTGTCATTCAGCCAGTCTCAATCAAGATAAGTTTATTAATGTAGTGTGTGTGTGTGTTTGTGTGTGTAGAGTAATTGCCTTGATACTTAGCAAAGTCGACGTCATTGTCTTTGCTAAGAGACACTAATTGTATCCGAACTTCTGCGGTCCCTCCTGTGTGTACCGATCACACAAGGATATAAATTATTTTCATTTATTAATTTTTTTTTTTTAATAAACGAAAATTTCCACCCAGGTGGGATTCGAACTCACGACCTTTAGGTTTAAAGGCAGGCACTCTTACCACTGAGCCACAGAGGGGGTTGAAAAATTTTGCTACTTGTCTTACCTGAGTTATCTTTTGATTCATTTTTGAAGTGTTCCAGATCTATTGATGTGGATAGTTGACACTCTATATCTTTTTGGTCATATTCAAAACACTTTTCCTTAATTTCAACTTTAAATTCCATAGCTAAAATATAAACTGAATAAATATATTGGAAATGTACAAACTGATTTATTATAATCAATAACATATATTCCCAGTACTTGACAGTATTCATTGTTAATATGAAATTCAAGAGGTTGCTGCTATAATTACATTTATTAATTTATAAAAATACTTTTTCCAAAGTCAGTTTTTTTGTTAAGTCTAGGGATGTTTAGAAAATTAAAATTGCCACTGCTTAAGAATACCATCATAACACAGAATACACCATCCCAACGGTAGTTGGGTACCAAAGCAGGTTTTCCTATGCCAATTCATTTTATTTACTTACTCTCTTCCATTGCTTGTTTTTCTTCTAAAGGTATAAGTTGGGATTCATCTTGTTTCATTTCCGTTTTTACATGGTCCTTTACACCTAAGTTATTAAATATATAATCTGTAAATAGCTGGTCCTTGGGTTCTTCTTTAATTTCAGTTTTAAAAGTATCAGGAACAGCTGCATCACACCTCTCATTATTATACATTTCTATTTTACTGGGCTTTATTTCCGTTTTTACATGGTATTCCTTTGAATCTAGATTATGGAATGTATCATCTGTTAAGAACTGGTCCTTGGGTTCTTCTTTAATTTCAGTTTTAAAGGTATCAGGAAGAGTATCCCAGGCCTCATTATTATACATTTCTATTTTAATAGGCTCCTCCCAGACTTCCTGTTTTACTTCCATTTGATGCGTAAAAATATTTTGAACACTTTTACAAAATCAATATACAAACACCACCGAGAGGTATTTGCTCATAGATAAATAATATAGTATATACAGATGGTATTTGCTTTGGTTGAAGTTAAATTAATGACACAAATAAAACAAACACAACAAAATCATATAACACAGAGCCCCAACCAATTGGGCTGTGGCTGTATGCTGTTCTCTGTTCTGTTGCTGTTGCTTATGCTGTATTCAGGCTGTGCTGTATGTGTTCGTAAGTTCTCTGGCTGTATTCTTTTCTATTTTAGTAGAATTTCAGTATATAAAATAAAGTTAAGAAATTTAATAGTTGTAATCTGGCAACACTGGTGGTTTGAGGATTGCCATATTGCCAAATCTATCCGCTAAACGATAATCTTACATAGAGTAAAAAAAATTGTAATAATTAATTGCAATCCAATGAAACAAATATATATTCTTTCAAGTTTTACATAAATTAAAAAATTTCAAAATCCATTAAATAATATATAATAAAAATGCACTTTTCATCTTTTCAAAGCTTTCCCTGCGACATTTGAAGCATACAACTATACATTATTAGGACATGGCAACACTGCCAAATGCAAATATTTCGTTCTATAATATGGACATTCAGAATTCAGACATTCTTTTTAGCTGATCACAGTTAATTTTTATTTATCAATGACGTATATCGTATAGAATAACGTTTTTTTTTTGTTACTTAGGATTATATTGATTTTCCCTTACTTTAAAATGAGTTTAAAATCAATTAATTTTACATGCTTTTTGATTTATCGCCATATTCATATATATAGTTACGCACCCTGGCACTAGAGAATGCACCAATCGTCGTTTTGCTTCTTAATATGGGACTGACACTGCTAGGTGGGTGGGTACTGTGAAACAGATTACCCACGGATCGACGGATCTAGCAAACAAAATGTCAATTTGAATTTGATTTAAATGTCAAATTCGCTCATTTTCCATTTTCTATGAAAGGGGACATCGGGGCATTAAGAGAACCTGCCGTTCCAAGTTTGTTTTTATCACGACCAGGTTTTTATCAGGTAATAGACCAGGCTTGTATTGACATAAAAGTTGACATTAGAATAACAAAACAATTATTCAAATACTGATAAGTTCTCGTCAAAACATTGCAGTATGTGTTATTAATATTGGTACACATAACTTTTTATTCTATATTTTATTCTTTAATATTTTAACCACTTTGGCATTTTAATCTAATAAATTTTAATTTCATCATCATCATCATTTTGGCTTTACAACCCTGTGTGGGTCCTAGCCGCTCCAAGAATTCTCTTCCAGTCGTCCCTATCCATCGCCTTCCTCCGCCAAGCACATATTTCCATATTTCTCATATCTTGGTCTATGTTATCTAGGAATCTTTTTCTGGGTCTTCCTCTTCTTCTTTAACCAATAGGTCTATCAAGGAGCGTTTTTCTAGCTGGGTCGGTTTGCTCCATCCGCATTACATGGCCTACCCACCACAGACGTCCTATCTTAATGTGTTTTACGATATCTGGTTCCTGGTATAGTCTATAGAGTTCGAAGTTGTATCGTCTTCTCCAGACACCATTTTCATTTACCGCTCCATAGATTCGCCTCAGTATTTTTCTTTCGAAACATCCTAACATGTTTTCATTGCTTTTTGTTAAAGTCCAGGTTTCTGAACCATATGTTAGGACTGGGCGTATTATTGTTTTGTAGAGTTTTACTTTTGTATTTCTTGATATAGCTGTAGATTTAAAAAGGAGATTAAGTCCAAAATAGCATCTATTAGTTGTTAAATTTTAATTTAATTTAATATAATGGAAAATAAATATAACCTCAACATAACAAGAAAAGTATACAAAAAAATATATATACATGTTATCGTATGGAATAAGGTTTTTTTGTTATTTTGAGTATTAATAAACTCATATGAATGAGTTTACAATCATAAGTAATTTTAAATGCCTTTTGAATTTACCACCATGTATATATATAGTTACGCACCCTGGCACTAGACGATGGGCCAATCGTCGTTTTACCTGTTAACGTAGGACTGGTACAGCTAGGTGGGAATGTGCTGTGTCCTGTCATTCGTTAATGTCGTTTATGTGTCGGTAATCAATCCTAAATCACAATCACAAACAAACACATAAATAAAAACAGAACAATAGGAATAGACACAAAGTAAAGCAAATGTTTGTAGTGTGCAGTGTGGTATATTATATAGGAACATTGCCCTGTCATTAGAATAATTGCTAGATATCACTAGATATTAAAACAGCCTGTAGAGTATTTAGTCACAGTCTGCAATTTTAATTTTCTAAACAGCCCTAGAATTAACAAAAACGGTGAGTTTTGGAAAAACTATTTTATTTTTATAAAAAATAATACATATATGTAATTATAGGATCAACCTCTTGAGTTTCATATAAACAATAAATACAGTGTAGTACTTGGACTATATACGTTTTATTAACATTGATTACCATAAATCGTTTTGGATGTTTCCAATTTATTTGTTCAGTTTATTTGTTAGTTATGGAATTTAAAATTGAAATTAAGGAAGAGTTTGATGAATATAACCAAAAAGATATAGAGAGTCAGCTATCCACATCAGTATATCTGGATCACTTCAAAAATGAACCAGAAGATAACTCAGGTAAGACAAGACTTAGCACTTGGATACTAGATAAGCAAGAGAGTAGGGCATCTAAGAAAATAAACTTTTTACAATGAATTCTGCTTTACTTACATTGATTGATGTACATTTTTATTAGGTGCGTCCATGTTTATGTATTTTCTTTTAAAGTTTATCTTGCTTAAAAACTGCCCCCCATGTAACAACAACACATGACAGGAATGTGATTTACTAACTGTTTTCTTATAAAAAAAATTAACAGATTTTTAATAAAATATTTAAACATTTTATTCTTACCTACTTTTAACATAAAAGTACTGTGTTATTACCAGGGTTAGGGTAGATTAGTTTTAGATCATAGACATATAATACAACTAGACTGACTGCTGCAATACAATTGTGTTCTCCCATTACAACAGATGAAAGTGACAGTCCCTGCATCTCATTTCTCATTGGTTAGTTAGGTCACATGAAAATAAAAAAAGAAAATAAATACAGAATCCTACTATTGATATTAGAAGGGAAAATAGAATGAAATAGAGGACTAGGATGCTGCCGAATATCCTGGCTTAAGAATTTGAGACAGTGGATAGGTTCACCACCGCAGATCTATTTTGAACAGCTGCTAATAAAATATGATGGGCCATTGTGGTAGCCAACATCCATAGAGGATAGGCACTAGCAGAAGAAGTTAGGTCACGTGGTTGGCAAATTAGAAAGAGATGGGACTGCTTTGCACCAGTTTTCTCTATCATACTTTGGAAATGCAAATGTATTGCAGCAGTCAGTCTATTTGTATATGATATGTTGATGGTTTGGATATTAATATTACTTAACATTTTTAGTAATAAAATATAAAAGAAAATATGATTTTTTTAAATTGTAAATGTTGTGGGATTCCTAGGCTGATTTTAGGTTGGCGTGTCTGCTCTTTAATATTGCCTTGGAAAAGGCAATCAGACAATTAAATTACAATTAAATATTAGAATGAATGGAAATATTTTGAATAGATCGACGAGATTTTTTTGGGGCCGTAAATGAAAATGGGCTATGGCGTTGAAGATACAACTTTGAACTATATCAGTTATATACCGATCCAGATATTGTGAAATTCGTTAAAGTGCAGAGACTTAGATGGGCTGGACACATTGCTAGGATGTCAGATATATGACACGAATACCCGAAGAGATCTTCATTTTCAAAACCAGAGGGCACAAGAAGCAGAGGACGACCACGAATGAGATGGATCGATGATGTGGAAGAAGATCTACATATTCTAAGGGTCAGAAGATGGAGGGAAGTTGCCAGGAATCGACAGGAGTGGCGACTTTTTTGTGAGCAGGCCAAGATCCACAACGGATTGTCGAGCCACTTATGATGAACCAACAAAGTCATCATAGCCAGAATGATCGTTAATGCTGGAAAAGGACAGGCACTCTAAGAAAAAGAAGTTTATTGTGCTCTACATGTTTTTTAACATCATTTGAGGGCGACTCTATCACATTAATCAAGATTATATTAATTGATCTATTATCTCTGACTTCCATTTCTGAGATTTTTCCGTCCAAAATGTTTACTTTAGAGGCAACCAATTGCAAGTCTAATTCGGTTGTTCTTTTAACTCTTTTGATCTCACATACTTCCTTCACCAACGGGGGAATTCCTTAAATGCTTCTTGACATGATACCTAGAAAAGTATTAAGAATCTGCTTTTCAGTAAAACTCCCTGAAATTCAATTGCAGCTAATCCCAAGCATTTGCCAATAGAAAAACAATCTCAGCATATAGCTATTGAACTCTTACATGATGCATTTTATGTTTGTCCCTTATTGCTGCAGAACGGGTTAAGGAATACCACTTATAATTTTAACACTTAAAAATGATTTACTTTCAGAAATATAGCAAAAATGGCAATTGTCAACCCTTAACTGGTGACCATGCATCTCACAGACTCCGCACGATTATTAACGCGACTGCATTTCTCGCCACTAATACGTAGCAACCTGCAATTCGGTGTACCTTCCTAGCTTTTAGAGTATATTTGAACGTGTTAATGAGAGGTACCTCGCTCGTCCTGTTTTTGAAATATTTACGTCACGGAGTCTACTAGACGCAAGGTCACCAATTAGGGTTATTTGAATATAGATAGTTCTCGTAAAGCTGTAAGAGTATTAGATGATGATTTCAAACAAGTGTGCACAAAATGGTATAATGAGCCGAACAGTGACGTTAGTGACGATGATGTGGAAGACGAATATTATATAGAAAGTGATCAGTTTGCGGTGAAACAAGTGAACAAGAACTAAGTGAAAATGAACAGCAACAAGACTCAGAAATGATATCTAGTGTGTCAATTCCAGCAATTATTAATATAGAAAGAATAGTACTCACAATATTGTTGTACTCCCATCAATCCGTTCAAAAGTAGAAAAGTCAACGAGTCCCGTTTATTATTTTAATAATTTGTTTTCACGAGATATGTATAGTCTTGTTGTCAAGAGAACTAACGAAAAACTCGCTACTTTTAGGCCAAAATATCAACAATATAAAAAAGACAAATCCGAGTTGGCTGATACTAATGAAATAGAATTCAGAATTTTCTTGTGAATGCTTCTTTATACTTCTATTTATAAGTCAGATCATGAGGATGTACGAAGTCTGTTTGCTACGAACGGGAAAAGACGGTCTATATTTAAAGCAGTTATGTCGCAGAAATGTTTCCTGACCCTGATGGCCGCCTTAAGGTTTGACGATACCTCGGACCGAGCACAAAGAACAAGGGATAATTCAGCTGCTGCTATCCAATAATTATAAGCATATAAAGCTTAATTATAAATCCAAGCAGTTATAAGATTAGTCAAACATCTTTACAATATTAATAGAAATGTAACTGGCGACAACTAGTTTAGTTCAGTTGATTTAGTACATCATTAACAAAAACATAAACTCACTTACGTTGGCACAATGCGAAGAGATAAAAAAGAAATTCCTCCACAGTTCTTTCCGCGACCAAATCGTAATGAAGGCGACACTTTGTATGGAGTTACCAAAGACGTAACACTTTTAACTCGTACAGCTAAGAAAAATAAAGCTGTGATATTAATTTCTTCGGTGCATCATTCGATAGAATTAGATGCAGATAATGGACTACCAGAAATAAATTCTTTTTACAACTTGACTAAAGGGGTGTAGACGCGATGAATTAAAAGTGTGTAAAATATTCCCGCAGAACACGTAGATAGCCCATGGCTATTTTTTATAAAATAGACGTATGTGGATTTAATTCATACATTATGTTTACTTTGATTCCCGAAAATAATTGGACTAGATTCAAATTTATAGAAACCCTGGCCGATGAACTCTTTCCTCACATTTACATAGAAGATATGAAATGCCAACATTACAAAGGCAGCTTAAAGAACTGATCGGAAGTATCCTTGATATTCCCGAAAATAAGGCTAACGAAGAAGAAAAGCTTGAAATGAGAAAATATTGCTACATCTGTCCATCCAACTTAAGAAGAAAGACTGCATATTTATGCACAACGTGTCAAAAACGTTTGCATAAATATGTTTGCAATGTTCTCGAAACATTTGTATAAATTGTACCAGGGTAGAATAGATTTTTAACGTTTTTTGTGATTTGCAGGTTTTGTGCAGAATTGCAATTATTTTGTTTTTAACAATTTTTATATAAAATGTACCTATTTTTAAACATACATATATTATATTTGTTTGTATATGTTACATTTTTTTTTTTGAATAATGACTTTAAAAATTTTGTGTTATAAAACATTTTTTTTCTTTTTCACTAAATAAAAATGACATTCCAATATTGTTTCATTATTAAAAACTGTTTTATTGCATTTTTTAGGTGGCAGCTTGACAAAAACAGCTTTTTTTAGCCAGGAGTCTGTCAGACTCATGGTCACCATTTATATAATTAAAAAAGGGTCACCAGTTAAGGGTTAAATTGCTCAGTGTATCACAACAGTCAGACTTTTGTTAAAAGATCTTTTAGAGATAATTGAAATCTGATATCTATGACGTAGACACAATCATTTTTCTCGTATATTAGTAATACTATTCTTTCAATTTCAGTTTTGTTTATAATTATTATTTTAAGGGGAACCAGTGTTGTTTATGTGGTGTGCATAGAAAAATGAACCCGGTTTAATTGACTTACGGCAATCATAGACATACTATACAATTATATTAACATTGTTAAATATAATAAGATAAATATAACATAAATATAAAAAATTACATAACTTCACAAATCATATGTCTGTGTTATGTGTTTCCTTCTAAAACATGGCGCGCGTGCTGAAAAACTTCAAAGGCGTCATCTGAGAGTGGGCATTCTGATTGTTTATTATTCTGTGGCTGAGGTTACCGAAAGTACAAGCTGATTATAACGGCAAATGTCAAACATGGAAAAAAAAATTTCGGTTTGGCAGTGTTGGCACGTTTTTATAATATAGATGCTGTATGCTTTAAATATAAAAAGGTAAAGCTTTAGAAAAGTACATTTTGTTTATATTATGTTATGAATTTTGCAATTTTTTATTTATATAAAACAAGAATGAGCATATATTTATTTCTTTGGGGATTCATTGCAGTCAATTATTAGAAATTTTTTTATCAATTGCCCTTTGATAGATTAAGGAATAGATTTGGCAATCGTCAAATCAGAAGTTGCCAGATTGCAATTATTCTCGAGAGAGACAAATATTTACTCGTTATTGTTTCATATAAATTAAAAATTGCAGAATTCATACAGTTGTATAATCGATATGCACATTTTAAAAGCTTTCTCTCTTTATATTTGAAGCATATAACATTTGCATTCTAAAAACATCCCAACACTGCCAAACCAAAATATTTTATTTCTTGGTTGACATTTGCGGCTATATTCAGCTTGTACTTTCGGTATATTCGACCAATTTTATTACTCTTTGTTTTATCCTTAATTTTTATAGATTCATTTTTATTTTAGGTTTTTCTCAGAGCAGAATGGAATTCGTGAAAACTGAACTTACATGTACTACAGAACAACAAAGTGCAAATACTGAAAAAACAACGTTAAAAAATTCTATTTGTGAATGTAAAATTTGTTTTAAGCAGTTTAACCGGACGGCTTCTTTGAAACGCCATATAAAATCGCACACTGGAGAAAAACCTTACAATTGCGAAATTTGTTTTACCAAGTTTATTACCAGAACTCATTTGAAAAGACATATGAGATTGCATACTGCAGAAAAACCTTACAAGTGCGAAACTTGTTTTAAGCAGTTTACTCACGCATACGATTTAAGAAGTCATTTGAATGTACATACTGGAGAAAAGCCTTACAAGTGCGGAAGTTGTCTTAAGGAGTTTACTCGAAAATCCGATTTAAAAAGGCATATGAGTTTGCACACTGGAGAAAAGCCTTACAAGTGCGGAAGTTGTCTTAAGGAGTTTACTCGAAAATCCTATTTGAAAAGGCATATGAGTTTGCATACTGCAGAAAAACCTTACAAGTGCGAAATTTGTTTTAAGCAATTTACTTACGCATGCGATTTAAGAAGTCATTTGAATGTACATACCGGAGAAAAGCATTATAAGTGCGGAAGTTGTCTTAAGGAGTTTGCCCGAAAATACGATTTGAAAAGGCATATGAGTTTGCACACTGGAGAAAAGCCTCACAAGTGCGAAATTTGTTTCAAGGAGTTTACTCACGCATATGGTTTGAATAGTCATTTGAATGTACACTCTGGAGAAAATCTTTACAAATGTGAAATTTGTTTTAAGCAGTTTACTCGAAAATACGATTTAAAAAGGCATGTGGGTCTGCACTCTGGGGAAAAGCCTTACCAGTGCGAAATTTGTTTTACCAAGTTTACTACTGCAACTAGTTTGAAACGGCATATGATACTACACACTGAAGAAAAACCTTACAAGTGCGACATTTGTTTTAAACAGTTTACTAGAGCGTGCTATTTGAAACGACATACGAGATTGCACACTTGAGAAAGGTAGGAAAGTCTTGTGAAATCTGTTTTAAGCGGTTTAGAGAAACAAGGCAGTTCCAGAAAACATTAGAGAGTTCATACTGGAGAAAAACCATAAACGTGTGTAATTTGTTTTAAATAATTTACACAAACAGGAAGCTGGTCATTTGAAATATCATTTGAGAATACACACTGCAGAAAAAGTGAATTTTGCCTAATACTAGGGAATTTACTAGAAATAGTTTAAAAAGGTGTCTAATATTGCATACTGGATATCTTTAAATTAATAGCATCCCACCGAAAAAAAAAAAAATACATAAAAATTAAAAAATGATTATTTTTGTTTGAAAAACATGTTTTTTTGGGAGTTTAATTGTGTTTCGCTCAATTTGTGGAAGCCCTGAAGCACTCAATTACTTTAAATTATATATAACCTATAAAACCCTTGATTTTATTTATTTTGAAGTTTATAAAATAGAAAGAATAGAACACCTGACGGAAAAATCTGGAACACATTACTGTTTTATATGATACAATGATACAACAGCTGCTTCTTTGGGTCGTAATTCTGTATTTACCAAAGAAGAAGAAGTTTTGACAAAGCAAGTCATAAAGTTATCAAAATATTTTTATAAAAAGACACTAAACCAAGAAAAAAAGTGGATTAGATAAGGAGAATAATAATAAGGAAGTTAAGGGGAATAAAGAAAGTTCGACACATGACAAAAAGTTTGAAAAGTATCTTTTGTTGATATCAATTCCACTACCAGGATTCTCAAAAGATGACTCAGTTGGAAATAAAAGATCCAACCCCAATAGCAACATTCCGAAATAATGAGATCAACACCAATTAAGTTACTTCTAGAAGAAAAACGGCGTAGGAAGAGCAAACGAGAAATAAAGCCCGCAAAGGAACCAAACGAAGAATAGCCATCGAAAAGTCAAGTCCTCTGCGAATAGTTCCAAAAAGAAATTGTATAAGAACACAGAAGATATATCATCTGAAGATGACGTTAATGACCGTGATAGTGACGTTAATGAAGATATTTACACAATTTGTGGTGAATTCGGTAAAAACAGAGAACTCTGGATCCCATGCAGCCTTTGCGGCTAATAGGCACACAAAGACTGTACCAGTTTCGAAACAAAATTTACATTTGCGATTTATGCATTTAATTATTTTTTAAATGGGGGTAATAGTGGCAGTGAGTGACCACTTTTATCCCTCGGCAGCGGGTAAATATGGCCACCAGCAGAAGTCTGAAAAACCACTTTAATTTTTTTTTTGTTCTGTTTAAAAATTTTTCGTAAATAGAGTTTGAAGTAGTAAGGTTTGAAGTTTTCTTTAAGTTAACAGTATAATTTTTAAAGCTATGTAGCAGTATAAATAAACCAAAATGCTTAGGCGGTCACTATTCCCCCCTTTCCCCGAGACCTGCAGCCATCTCATAAAAAAAAGTATACGCCTTTAAAAAATGCATTTTTAGGTTATGTATACTCTACCTATGGGCACAGAATAATAAACAATCCTGAATGCCCACTCTCAGATGCAGCCTTTGAAGTTTTTCAGCACGCGCGCCATGTCTTAGAAGGAAACAGACTCGGATTGAGAATCACATTTGGTGTGTCTTTATCGACATATGATTTGTGAGGTTACGTAATTGTTTATATTTATTTATTTAATTATATTATATTTAAGAATGTTAAAATAATTGTATAGTATGTCTATGATTGCCGGGATTGGAGTCAATTAAACCGGGTTAATTTTTCTATGCACACCACATAAATTTTCATTAAACAACACGGGTTCTGTTTAAAACATGGCGCGAACGAGATGCGCGTACTTAATTTTCCATGGAGAGTGATCATTCTGATTTCTTATTCTGTGCTATGGGTCTATAAAAAAGACAATTTTTTGACATTTTTAAGTCAGTAACAAAGTGTTAAATATATTGTATCTCTGTTTATGTAAAGACAGTTTTACATTAAAGACAGTTTTACAGTATGCTATTTTCATGCTATGCAAGAGCCATGCAAGACAGATCATGGAACTGCGCATGCCCACGGGCCATTTCCATGCAATTCCTGTGCTAGACGAAAAATTAGAACATGTTCTATTTTTCATGCTATTTTCTTGCAATTTATCGTTAAAATTCATGTTGCCAACATAACAATTTATAAAGACAGTTTTACATTATGCTATTTTCATGCTAGGCAAGAGCCATGCAAGACAGATCATGGAACTGCGCATGCCCACCGGCTATTTCCATGCAATTCCTGTGCTAGACGAAAAATTAGAACATGTTCTATTTTTCATGCAATTTTCTTGCAATTTATCGTTAAAATTCATGTTGCCAACACAACAATTTATAATAGATGACAGAATAAAACATAACCTTATCTCTATCTTTAGCGTTCCTCAACCCAAATGTTAATTGTTGTGTTTTGATTTAAATTAAGTTTATTAAGTGGTGATAAATAGATATACTATGTCTAAAGTTAATGTAAAAACGACTGGGTGAGTCGTTGACTATGGATGATTGTTGCTACAACAGCAATATTCAACAATGACAATGTTTTCTTTTCTTTGGTTGACATCCTTCACTCTTTTAATAACCATAAATAGTGTATATTTATTTATTATATTATTTATTTTAGTACTTAATTATATTTTTTATTTAAAATAAAATAACCTCAAATTGATAAATATTTTCTCTGTTGGCAACAATGAAAGTGGGATCTAAAATTTCACAGAAATATCTCTGATGTAAAAAGGTCAAGCTAGGCAAGAGATGTGCCATGCAAGACGGACTTGCATAGCATGAGACTTGCATAGCCTAGATGTAAAGCTACCTTAATAGATTACAGAATAAAATATAACCTTATCTCTATCCAGGAGATTAAGGAAAGTGGACTCGTTCATTCGAAGAAAGTTTTTAAAATTTTGAAGGTCTCTAGCATCCAAGAACTCTTGGGGTAACTTTAAATTTCCCAGTCCTGCATTCAACCAAGGTTTGACCCAGCATTTTCTAGGTTTTCTTTTTTATTATTTTTCATGATTGTTGCTACAACAGCAATATTCAACAATAACAATGTTTTCTTTTCTATTTTAGTACTTATTTATATTTATTTAAAATAAAATAACCTCAAATTGATAAATATTTTCTCTGTTGGTAACAATGAAAGTGGGATCTAAAATTGCACATAAATATCTCTGATGTAAAAAGGTCAAGCTAGGCAAGAGATGTGCCATGCAAGACGGACTTGCATAGCCTAGATGTAAAGCTGCCTTTAGGTAGGCTTGTCGAAAACCTACAAAAATTTCGTAGATATCTATATCGTGTTCAGAGACTTTAGCCTAATATTTGTTTTGCGTTGAATAGTTAATCCATATTAGACCGTCCTGATTTAAATCCTTTTTGGTATTTTCGGTTGAGTTTACCGAAAATACAAGCTGATAATAGCCGCAAATGTCAAACATGGAACAAAAAATTTCGGTATACCAGTGTTGGCATGTTTTTATAATGTAGATGATGTATGCTTCAAATATAAAAAGATAAAGCTTTAGAAAAGTACATTTTGTTTATATTTTGTTATGATTCTGCAATTTTTGATTTATATAAAACAAGAATGAGTATATATTTGTTTCTTTGGAGATTCATTACAGTAAATTATTAGAGATTTTATTGGCCATTGTCCTTTGATAGATTAGGGAATAGTAATTTAGGGAAATTCATAAAATAATATAGGTAATCGATATGCACATTTTAAAAGCTTTCTCTCTTTATATTTGAAGCATACAACATTTGCATTCTAAAAACATCCCAACACTGCCAAACCAAAGTATTTTAATACATTTGCGGCTATATTCAGCTTGAACTTTCGGTAAGCTCAACCAATTTTATTACTCATTGTTTTAGCCTGCAGTCTCTGCATAAACTAATTTTTATAGTTTCATTTTTTTTAGGTTTTTCTCCGAGCAGAATGGAATTCGTGAAAACTGAACTTACATGTACTACAGAACAACAAAGGGCAAATACTGAAAAAACAACGTTAAAAAATTCTATTTTTGAATGTAAAATTTGTTGTAAACAGTTTAAACCGGGCGGCTTCCTTGAAACGCCATATAAAATCGCACACTGGAGAAAAGCCTTACAATTGCGAAATTTGTTTTACCAAGTTTATTACCAGAACTCATTTGAAACGACATATTATGAGATTGCATACTGCAGAAAAACCTTATAAGTGCGAAATTTGTTTTAAGCAGTTTGCTCAAAAATGCGATTTGAAAAGCCATTTAAGTGTGCACTCCGGAGAAAAGCCTTACAAGTGTGAAATTTGTTTTAAGTGCTATTTTCTAGCAAAGCATTTGAGAAAACATATAAAAATACACGCTGGAGAAAAGCCTTACAAGTGCGAAATTTGTTTTAAGCAGTTTACTCACGCATACGATTTAAGAAGTCATTTGAATGTACATACTGGAGAAAAGCCTTACAAGTGCGGAAGTTGTCTTAAGGAATTTGCTCGAAAATCAGATTTGAAAAGGCATATGAGTTTGCACACTGGAGAAAAGCCTTACAAGTGCGAAATTTGTTTTAAGCAGTTCACTCACGCATATGGTTTGAATAGTCATTTGAATGTACACTCTGGAGAAAATCTTTACAAATGTGAAATTTGTTTTAAGCAGTTTACTCGAAAATACGATTTAAAAAGGCATGTGGGTCTGCACTCTGGGGAAAAGCCTTACCAGTGCGAAATTTGTTCTACCAAGTTTACTACAGCAACTGGTTTGAAACGGCATATGATACTGCACGCTGGAGAAAAACCTTACAAGTGCGACATTTGTTTTAAACAGTTTACTAGAGCATGCTATTTGAAACGACATACAAGATTGCACACTGGAGAAAGGTAGGAAAGTCTTGTGAAATATGTTTTAAGCGGTTTAGAGAAACAAGGCAGTTCCAGAAAACATTAGAGAGTTCATACTGGAGAAAAACCATAAACAAGTGTAATTTGTTTTAAATAATTTACACAAGCAGGAAGCAGGTCATTTGAAATATCATTTGAGAATACACACTGCAGAAAAAGTGAATTTTGCCTAATACTATAGAATTTACTAGAAATAGTTTAAAAAGGTATCTAATATTGCATACTGGATATCTTGTACTCTTCTAGCTAGAAACGTGATGAAATATAAATGCTTGTGAATTAGGTTTTTACAGAAACATACCATAAAATGCTTTCGACGATTTTGTTTGCCAAAGTATCAAACAGAAACCCGTCTTAAAGCCGGAAAGAATTAGTTCCTTTCATACCCAGGATTACAAAGGAAAGGATTAGAAACCTTTCGTACTCAGAGAAATTTCGTGATTTTTCGGTAGGTCCAATAAAATTTTGCCAATGGCAAATCGACCATCCGCGTCTCAGCCACAGGGGTAGAGGGATTAGAAATAATTTAATATATTAATTATAAAAAAAATGTTACAAATTCCATCAGAGTTTCTCAATATTTTATTCCAAACTTTATAAATTACCTAACATTTTATAAACAATTATTAGTATTAAAGTTTTAAAATAATGTCCAAGTAGTTTTTTTTCTTTAAATAGGAGAATTGTTAATGATCAATGTAAGTGTTCTCTGGGATCATCCTATAATTTTCATTTGTCATGTTTTTAAGCAAGCCTCTTTACGTAGTTTATTAGGTGCGAATGGTAAAACCCCTACACTGACACTTGTGAATAATAAATTGTAAATTTCCGACAACACAATATCGGTCGGTAGATTAAACAGAAGTTTATTGCGGGCGGCAGTTAAAAAAAGTATTTATTTATAGCCACAGCCAGGCCAAAAACGTAAAAAACACGTTTTTTTATCTTATTTTATCTCGTTATAACCAAATTTGCCTCGCTATAGAGGGTTATAGTTCAATAGAAATTTCACGGGACATCTAATGTACCTCGTTATAAGCGAAACCTTGTAATAACTGTGTTCGTTATAGAGAGAGTATACTGTATAAACAAAATTTTACCAATCTCTCTAATCAATAACAAATACCTTTTTATAATAATTTTATTATCATGGTACTTTAACAAAAAAAGCTTTTTGATAATGTGCATAAGGGTAAATTCTCACTAATAGATACAAAACGTTCATTCATTTGGAAATATTTTATTACTTATTGTATTTAGACCGTCATTCTTAATTCTTTACCTCCTTAAAAATATTTATTACAAACTGATAAACAAATTTGCAATTGTTTGAAATACAAGTAAATAATGATCAATTCTCAAGTGAATGGAGATTAAGTTACTATTTATACAAAAACTTTAATTTGCCAGAAAGTTAATAAAACTGGAATTGTTTTTAGATACTTAAGCCTCACGTAACATGCTAGAGCTTATAGAATCTATGTATTATGTAAAAACCAGTATTACTGATCAGTGAACATTTCGAGACATTTTGGGCCTTGTTTGACTTTCAACCATGATTATATAACGTCACGGTGCCAAGGATAAAAATGGTATAATTGTACTGTTTAGACACTGTGGCGTTCTACAATCATGATTAAAGGTCAAACGAGGCCAAAATGTTTACTGGGGGGGGGGGCGCTTTGCTAAACAAAACCACATGATTCGTAGTTCCATGGTTACTGCATCGCCACAAAACTTGTTTTCAATGTTTTGCAAATTTTCTAAAATTAGGCAAACGTGCATCTGTCGCCATTTATTATATCACTGCTGCCTTCTATTAACTGACACGTGAACTTATTTTGTCATTTATTAGTGACAGTCGAACTAATTTCTCACTACCAAAATGACAACTTGTTACTGTGACATCAACAAAATTCCTAGTTTGCAGGTTTTAATTGTAAGTTTATCTTTAGGTACAGTTTATTTAAAAATTACAGTAGTATGGATAATCAACGTTTGCTTAAAATAAAGTCTTTTATATAGTTAATCATTTAACGTAGTTATTTTGTACCTAAGTTCACAAATTATTACACAATACCAAATTTTAGGCAGGTTACCAAGTTATGACATGGATTCATTTAAGTAGTTATAAAATTTACTGCTTTCTTTGGAAATATCATTAAAATAAATAGTTTACAGTTCACGTGTGATCAACATCGGATGATAAGTCTAATTAACCACATTTCGAAGGCATACACGCATAAAGCACGAAAAGATAATTGAAGTTCTCCATAAGATCGGAGTCGACTACAGAGACATTCGAACAATAGCGAGTCTCTATTGGGGTCAAACAGCTAAAGTGAAAGTAGGATCTACATTGACCAATAAAATTGAGATCAAGAAAGGGTTAAGACAGCGCTGGAGGAAAGCACAGAAGGCATAAAGATAAATGGAGAAATAATTAATAACATAAGGTATGCTGATGACACTGTGATTCTAGCAAGTAGCATGGAGGAACTGAGTTGCCTAATGAGTAAAATACAAAAAAACAAGTGCACAATACGAACTCAGACTAAATATCACAAAAACCAAATGGATGTTAGTAAGCAAAACCCAACAACCACCACAGCAACTGACATTAGCCAATGAAAGAATTGAACACGTGGATTCGTAAATCTACTTGGGAACAACAGTTAACTCAAATTGGGATCAAGCGAAGGAAATACGTATAAGAATAGAAAAGGCAAGAGCATCGTTCACTAGCATGAAGCAAATTTTCACCTCTAAAAGCCTCACCCTACCTCTCAAAATTCGACTTCTGAAATGTTATGTATTCCCGGTTTTGTTATATGGAATGGAGGCGTGGACAATGACCGCAACATTGATGAAAAAAGTAGAGGCCTTCGGAATGTAGGCTTTATGAGCCTGTGGTCAGGACAAAAGCTGAATCTTTTGCAACTGATCTTGAAATTGCAAATTTTAGGGTTGGCTGAGTAAGTGGTAGAAGCTGCGGCACAAGATCAACTACGGGCAAATCAGCTGAGAGGCTCGCGATATTAACAAAAACGTAACGGACGATTGGCTACAAAACGTGTGGCCTGGACTGAAGGCACGTTATGCGTCAGGGATTGTTTTTTAAAATGACACCAAACAGAACTTTAAAATTTAAATCGGAATAGTTGGGGGAAAGCTCTCCAAGGAATGCATTACAATTTTAGTGACCGCTAACATGACAGGTTCGGTGAAGCGAAAATTGTTGAAAGGAAAATATGTTCGGTGAAGCGAAAAGTGATAGGGAAGTAGAAAAATCCACGTTGCTTTAAAAACATAATAAATTTACCTGTGACCTATAAATAAAACAAGAGTGCGAGGATGACTTCAAATACTTTTGAAGAAGCGATAAGAAAGTGGGATATCGAGCTTAAAAGGAAAAAAATTCTTCTGCTTGTAGACAATTGTCCTGCTCATCCTATACTGTACGACCATCAAAATATTGAACTTTGTTTTCTGCCAGCAAACACAATGAGTGTCCTTGAGATCCAGCCGATGGACCAAAGTGTCATCAAGAGTTTGAAAAGCCATTACAGGAGAAGACTTTTGATGGTATTGGTTGAGAACAATGGCAATCTTAAACTAAACATTCTTGACGTCATCCTAGTGATTAGTAAATACAATAAAACATTCCTTCAAACACGCAGGATACAGACAGGACACAGACAGTTTGAACTTACTATCACCGGACCGGAAGAGCTAACAGATTTTGAATAATTTGATGAAAATGTAGCAAAAATATCTGGACTCTCTGAAAAGGACATCCTACAGTTCATGCAGAAGAAGAAAACAGTGACCCAGAAGTGGAAGCAGAGCCAGAACTAGCTCCGACCCCTCAGTAGGCATTGAGTGTGGCAAAAGTACTGCATTTATTCTTCATCCACCAGGAAGACGATATGAGTGCTGTGGAAGAGTCTATGCGTCTTTAGGACAAGGTCAGGTCAGTTCTGTGGAAAGGGAAAAGGAAACAAGGAAACAGACCAAGGTGACAGACTTTTTTTGGTAATGTAAGCAAAATATATTTTACAGTATAATATTATTTTTTTATTGTACTGTACACATGTTTTAATTGCTGGTTTTAATCATATTGCTGGTATTATTCTTTAATAAATATATGTAGTGTACAATACAGCCTTAATTCATTCATATTCGTTTTACATTTTTTTTAATTAAAATAGGGTATTTACTACAGTATTATTAATATTAGAGTACCGAATTTTGTCTCTTTCTGTATAACGATCTCTCCTTATAACGATGAAAATTCCCGGCCCTAGCATATCGTTATAGAGAGAGAGGACTGTAATTTCATGTTCGTTTCTCTTCAGTATGCAATTGAATATGGAGCCGAAAGTGACTACTCCTCTAGAAGTGATAATAGATTTCACATTTTTAGGGTTTCTCTCAAGTGTGATATCGGCTCATATGACTTTTTAGAGATCTATTCTCGCGAAAGAGTTTCCAACAAATTTCACACTTGTAAGGTGTGTCCCCATTATGTAGTCGCATATGGCTTTTTAAAGCAGCACTATAGGTAAATTGGCACGAACAAATTTCACACTTATATGGTTTTTCTTCAGTATGCAGTCGCATATGGCACTTGAAACTACTAAGGTCTGCAAAGCTTTTTGAACAGATTTCACATTCGTAGGGTTTCTCCCCAGTATGCAATCGCATATGACGCTTAAGAGCACTACTGTCAGCAAAGTTTTTTAAACATATTTCACATTCGTAGGGTTTCTCCCCAGTATGCAATCGCATATGACGCTTGAAACTACTACTGTCAGCAAAGTTTTTTGAACATATTTCACATTTGTATGGTTTTCCTGTAGTATGCAGTTGCATATGACGCCTTAAATTACTATTCTCCCTAAAGAGTTTTGAACAGATTTCACATGTATATGCTTTCTCTCCAGTATGCAATCGCATATGACTTTTTAAAGCGCTCTTTTGAGTAAACTTTTTCCAACAAATTTCGCATGTATATGCTTTCTCTCCAGTATGCATTTGTTTATGGCGCTTAAAATTACTAACATCCATAAAGTTTTTTGAACATATTTCGCACTTGTATGGTTTTTCCCCAATATGCCATCGCATATGGCGCTTGAAACTACTAATGTTGGATAAGCCTTTTGAACAAATTTCACATTTGTATGGTTTGTCTTCAGTATGCCGTTGTTTATGACGCTTGAAATTACTAACATCAGTAAAGTTTTTTGAACATATTTCGCATTTATATGGTTTTTCCCCAGTGTGCAATCGCATATGGCGCTTGAAACTACCAATGTTGGAGAGGCCTTTTGAACAGATTTCACATTTGTACGGTTTTTCTTCGGTATGCACTTGCATATGCGTTTTGAAAGCACAATTTGTAGAGCTAAGGTTTTCTCTGATTGTTCTATCATAACATTCAAACAATTCCTTGTTTTGTGTTTCATCTAACAAACATTTAACTTCAGTCTTCGTGTGGAACAAGCCTAAAATTAAAACCAAAGTTAAATCGATACCTCAGTTCCATAGAGAAGTAAGCAAAAATTTAGAGTTTTCATAAAATCGCAATCAAAGATTTCGTAAATGTGTGTGTTAAAAATTAGATTTTTAAATGATCAAAATTTTCTTTCTTTACCATTGTAATATCATATAGATTTATGCATTAAAAATACATACATATTTGATTAAATTAAAAAGCTGTTTTAATTAATAATCTTAGTTGTTAACTGTTTCCTTATGATATTGCCATGCTTATGGGAAACGTTGCCCAATATGGGGTAAGTCTCAGTCCTTAGAACAATTAAAAAATGTGATAAAGAGACCGCTATTTGTGTGATATTAGTTTGTATTCAAGTTAATTATTAGTTTTTGTTAAACTTTACTAATTATATTCCTATGCTATGCTTACTTTGAAAAATTTTATATATTATGTTTTGTTCCAATGTAAATGGTATATCTGTTAATAAATAAATAAATAAAAAAAGTTGCTTTCGTGCAAGTACTGATTCTGACATTTTTTTTTATTTACAAAATCGCATCAGCCAAATTGGCTATTAGCGAACAATAATTTTTATTACATTTATAATATTAGTTTATATAGCATTTAAAATATTAAGTGAGGTTAAGAAACTTTTTATGTTTGAAATATTGCACTGTAAACCTAAAATGTCACTTAGTTTGTTGGGTATACTGTACAATATGCGCTTTGGCGTTAATGCTGGACATGTTTCCAATATATATTTTTTCATCACAGTTGTCACATCTTGGTTCTTGTTTGTTAGAGAACACGTAGCTATTCGTTAGTCGCGTATGACCCAGTCGAAGTCGCGTTAATATTACCTGGTCTCTTCGACTTGTTGGTAATGTGGGCCAGGGTTTAATCGATTTTTTTACATCGCGTAGCTTTGCCGATGACACTTTCCACTTTTCATTCCACATATATCGCACTTTAAATTTAACCGTTGCTTTCACGTCCGCACTCGTAAATGTCTTAGTACATTCCGCACTATCACTACTTGCAGCTTCTTTTGCAGCGTTGTCTGCCTCTTCATTTCCTGGAATTCCAATATGGGATCTGACATCTGTTGCATGCATTGTTAACTAATCACTACCTTATCAGAAGATAACCATTCTCTCTTTTTGCACAAACTTGTTCTCTTATTTGACATTTGCAGTTTTTCTGTTGTAAGAAAAGTTTTTTAGTTGTGCTCCATTTTGGGCATTTACATACACTTGAAGATGAGTTTTTAAAGTATTGTAATATTATTCTATACAAATTTTTGCACAGTTTGTGAAAATAGTGTAGTTTTTTTTAAACAGAACCATATTTTTTGCAAAAAGTCAACCCTTGATTATGTTCGTAATACAGGCTCTTGACAATTCCTAATTTGGGGCACCTCATAATAGATGGGACACCGCGAGGATTATTTACTTTAAGGTATGGTTGGGAAAGATTTATAGTGATTTCTTATAGGTTTGGGTCTATCATTCATCCTCGTGTCCATGAGTTCCTCTTAAATCTTTTTAAAGCACTCCATTACCATCCTTCTTTTGTAGTGTGGTGAATATGTATTTAGTAGAAATATCAATAGACTACAAGCACATGCATGATTTTTAATGAGTTATTCGACCTTAATTTGAACCCCCTGCTTTGAGTATCAATAAGAATTGGCAGCTTAATTTTTAAAGGTGTTATTACATACATTGTAGTATTCATTTATATGTAATTCACATTGTGTCAAATGACCCCCTAAAAATGTCTCATGTGCTTGTAGTCTACAAGTGAATTCGCGAAGAAAGTTTTGCAGACTTTTACTTTTATCATCCACTTCAAAGAAATATGCATAATTATTCGATCTTGAACTATTTGGTGTCTGCATATGATATTTTTGACATATTGGTTTTATACACTGAGGAAGGTAGTTTCTTTGCAGATAAATGTCAACAATACTCAAAAAACTTGTATGTATGCTCAATCTACACTCTTATGTGAAGGAATCATAGCATGGTATTTTTACTTATCAAGCATTTACATGCTTTTTTGCTCACAGTAACATATTCAAGACAAGGAAAATCCAACTACAGTGGGTAGAGGAAAAATATTTTTGTCTTCTTTCTACAAGGTCTCAATAAAACAAAACTTAATGAACACTTCCCAATAATTAACTCAGAACATGAAATTTTGGAGTTGTTTCCTTATGAAAATGAAGTATCAAAATATCTTTTTGGTTTGTTGGTTATAAAACCAAATGGATATTTAATAAATAGAACTAAAGAATATTCCTTTAACAGTATATTATATCTACATTTTCTAATCATCAACAAAAATATAACATTTAGCACAGCATATTCTTTATAAAGCAATATAGGTACTATGCATTTAGTAATAAATGTTCCTGGGAAGAGAATTATACTGAAGGCAGAGTTTGTCATACTATTCTAAGGCGGAAAATGTAGGATAAAAATTAATCTGTTATGTTTTTGTGGTGTTTAAACATCAACATGTTCTAAAAAGCAAATGTTTTACGTTTATTTCCACAGTCCTTAAGCTGAAATAAGATAACTTCTCACCTGAGTTTTCTGTTTCGCTTTTAAAACTCTCAATTTTAATGTCAGTGGATAGTTGGTCTATATTACTCGTTTGCATATCATATTCCTGTTCTTCCTTAATCTCAATATTCTTTATATCCTGTTTTATCTCTATTTGTTCGAAAGAACAAACATTTTTGCATATTTGTGTATCTTCCATAGTTTTGAAAAATGTATGATGTGACAACTGACAAGTAAATTTTTCTTAAACTAAAAACATTTTTTTGGTGTTCTGTGCTTAAAACCAGATCACAGAATAATCCCTAGCCACAAAATAATTAAAAATGGTTTATTATTCTGTGCCCTAGCTGTTCAGTGACCTTTTATCTGGTGTGTATAGAAAAATTAAGCCGGTTTAATTTATTTTCGGCCACTATAGACATATGCACTTTTATGCGTACTTTTAGTTGAATAGATTAAATTATTTCAAATGCACTAAATTATTAATCTCTAAAAATTTAGCTTGTCACAAATTCCTCAATTCGAGTCAATGTTTTCGTCTAAAATCTGGCGATCGCGTGCTGACAAACTTCGAAGGCGGCATCGGAGAGTAGGCATGTTGGTGTAGTAAGACGAATCAATGTCTGCGGTGATGAAATATATATCAATGAATTCTGCTTCATTTACTGATGATTGTACAATGTTTTAGACTTCTAAAGCACTTATTATATTCGTATTATACTCGCCAAAATTTGTTTTCTAAATTTATTCTCTAAAAAAGAGTTTACCGAAAGGACAAGCTGATTAATGTCAGACATGGAACAACAAATTTCGGTATTATAGCAGTGTTGGCATGTTTTTATAATGTAGATGCTGTATGCTTAGAAAAGTATATTTTATTTAGATTATGTTATGAATTCTACAATTTTTGATTTATACAAAATAACAATGAGTAAATATTTGTTTCTTTGGTGATTCTTTGCAGTTAATTATTAAAATTCTTCTCGTTATTGCTTCAAATAAATTAAAAATTGCATAATTCATAAAATAGTATAATCAAAATGTACTTTTTAAAAGCTTTATCTCTTTATATTTGAAGCATACAACATATGCATTATGACACTGCCAAAGCGAAATATTTTTATATTTAGCTTGTACTGTCGGTAAACTCAACCTAAAAAAACCGTGTACCATTCCTTCTTTTTGTCGTTGGGTCTATCTTAAATTATATTTTCCTCCATGGCCTTGACACAGAACAAATAACAATTTGCTTTATGTGGCGTTGAGCAAAATGTAAGCAACTTTAAAAATCAAAGACCCAAAAGATTTTCCGAGTAAAAAAGGTTATTTCTAAAAATTCTTTAAAATATCTCAAAAATTTCTCCCGGATCCTTGAGATTTGGTTAAAAGGAACATTTCCGAATCAAACGTTTTTCCCTCGGGAGCAGTCTCAACCGAGATAATATAAATAGTGCTACTGCAGATTTTTGTTACGACCAGTGCCTGAAATTAAATATGTAATCCTAATACTTTATGGAAAATTTTGTCCACTTCTAGCATTTTACAATCTCCGAAATATGACATGATCTGACTTTGTATAAAAGAATTGCTGTAAAATGTTCGAATTTCAATAGCGATGTGCCTAGAGATTGAGATTATAAAATGATTTTTCATTAGTTTTTAAAAGCAAACAAAAATTAATCAGTTAAATCCATAATTAATCGGGGTTTTTAACTTCAAATTCTTACCATAAGAGTTTTCAGAGGTACAATGAAGTGAATATTTTCTTTATATTTTGGGTGTTGCCTAACACATAGAAACAAAAGCAAACTAACTTGCATCCGTACCCAGTCCCTATTTTTCTAAATTGTTTGTGGTTCTTTTCCGATTCTCATCTTTATGCTCTCAATTTTTCAAAATTTAGTTTTCCACTCTATTGGTATCAACCTAACCTCTTTAATTATTTTTTAGCTCATCACTAGTGGATGTATCTATTAAAATCCATTTCTATACCTCATTTCATTAAGCGATGCAGGGCATACAAACAACGATAAATAAGATGTTCCAAATGAAAGTAACAGTGTAATTATTACTCTATATTTTTTTTCTTTTCTCAAATATTCGTGTTTGTAACCACTGAAAACATTGTAAGTGAAAAAATAATCCGATTTATAAAATTAATGAATATTTTATGCATAAATGCAAGTAATAGTTCTTCAAAAATATTCAAAAACTAACCGGAATGTCCATCTTTATTTCGTCTACTGACGTTTTCGGCAGCTCATACCGGTTGGGACACGATTTAATCTTCCTGCATCGATTAATGAATTTTACTATAGTTACATTTTGATTGGTTAAAAAAATAATTTAAAAAATCTGGTGTTAGAACATTTATTGGATACTACTAACTGTAAGTCACATATTTAAAAAAAAAATCTTAAAATTAAGTCATAAACACATGTTTTACAAAAAGAAGTAGCGGATTGGCTAAAGTATTTGAGTTAGTAATTTTCCTGTTCACAATGATGTAAACAATGACAGAAGACTTGACTTTTTCAAATTTATCGCATACATTTCTTACTAATTTCCAATATGGATTATGTCAAAAAATATACATTTAGGGTAAAATAATTGACCAAATCCGCAACTAATGCCTTAAGGTATAAAACTAGATAATTTATATCTACGGTAAATTAAGCCATTACAATCTAGGAAAAAAATTAAATCAAACGAAGTGCATCCAAGAAGATAGAATGTCTAATAGCGACGAGGAGAATAACTTCTAGATCTAGAGTAACGTCTTCTTCGGCTACTACTATAGTAAGGCGATGGAGAACGCCTGTAGCGAGAACTACGGTAGTAATCATCTCTGTCCCCTCTGTCTCGGCCTCTGCCTCTATCGTAACGATCGGAATATTTGTACGTTGGTTTTCCCATATAAATTCCAGGAGTAGGTGTATGGGCTCTTTCAGTAATGGAATAATCAACACGAATGCTCTTTCCATTAAGTTTCATACCGGTGCATTGTTCCTTCGCTACTTTTGCATCTTCAACATTCTCGAAGTAGACAAATGAAAAGCCTCTAGAACGTCCAGTTTTAGCATCGATAACAACTTGAACTCTTTCTACGGGACCATATTTGGACATCAAATGGTATAGTTCATCCTCGGTGGTGTAAACGCTCAATCCAAAGACTCCCAAACACCTGGATTGTTTGGGGTTGTCCCTGGTACCGGTATGACGCTTTCTGCTCGACATTGGACTGTGAGAAGACCCACGTCCGTAATCAGCTGAACGAGATCTGCTGCGAGAGTACCTTGAAGATCTGTGGCGTTTTTCGGAATGAGAACGGCTTCTCGATCTTTTATCTTTGTCACCGTTTCTATAAACTTTTCTGTCGCGACTGTGACTTCTTGAGCGGCTTTTGTATTCCCTAGGTGAATCGTCGCGCCTGGGAGAATAATCGGCCATAACCTTCGGAGACAACCTCCTGAATTATCGCTCGAATGACGATGACGCCTGAAATTAGAATTAAAAATTAATGAACATAATAATTGTAATACCATAATTTACTAAATTACAAATACCACCGAAATATTATATTGCCAGTAAAATAAATAATTTCACGACTGTTCTAAGACTATTTACAATTTAGTTACAAATATATGCGCCCATAATATAATCTAAGATCCCACTGCAAGATAACTACGTCCATAATGTAGTTAATCAAACTCACATTTTTACGTACATTTAATAGGAAAATACATTGGTAACAGGTTTCTAGAAAAGTGGGCGAATATTTTTAATGCAATTATTTTTTAACAAAAATTTTATTTCGCTCATTTATTTTTTAAATAATAGACAACTGTCAGATGTTAAAAACGCAAGATATCAAAGATAAAGTAAAATATATCAGCGCGCAACGACGCATGCTTTAAAACTGATTATCACTAGCCATGTGAAACCAGTGGCTTTACGGGCTAGCTCTCTTTTACTTTATCTTTTATACTTCACACGTTTTTAACAGCTTGTAAACCTAATATGCGACCATTTTTTCTTAGACAACCATATATCATATTAAAAAAGCTTTAATTTGATATAAAAACATGCATATACGTCGTGATCAGCGTATTTTATTTAAAAAATAAGTAAACGAAATTTTTGTTCAAATATTAATTACTATTAATTAAATTAAAATTATTTGCGGCCATTTTTGGACTTGCAACCTATTATCAATGTATTCTCCTATTCTTAAATGCATAAAAAAATGAGAGTTTCACTAACTATATTATGAACGTATTGGCATTACAGTGGGATCTCGTACTATAACAATTATTTGGCATATCAACGACACTAAAATGTAGAAATAATAAGCAATGCAACTAGTTTAAGAAATAATTAAAACAATTGTAATTATTTTGTCAAAATAAAAATTTGTTAATGAAAATGAGATTTTATTATAAAAAACATATTTGGTCTTAATAGCAATCATACTTTATTAGTTAGTCAAACTTGTTTAAATGGATCCGAGGGCAACCTGGTCAAAAATAATGTGCCTTATTTATATGAATTAATTTAATATAACTCCATAATTTTAATACTGATAGTATTGTACTAGCTTCATATTACCAATAAATCTTCAGAATTAGCTTAATTACTTAATTTTACATTTCACTCAAAATAAAACGGAATCCAATATATAAAATATATTTCAATTTTTATGTTGCTTAACCTATAAATTTATAACAAAAATGAGACTGTATGACCCATAAAAGTTAATACAATATATGTTCAAATCCATAGAAAAATCTTTCTGAAGAACATAAGGAATATCCATCTTATGTAATAGTACACTTTAAGCTAATGGCCAGATAGACAACCAGGGAAACATACTAAAGTGATCAAGTAAGTTAAAGGGATGACACAAAGCAAAAAGAAAAAAATAATAATAATATACTACAAATGTATGTATGTGTACCAAAGTAAACAAACTAGAGGAACATAAGATAAAGAAGAAAAATTAGACCCATAACATTTGAAGGGTACAGAAATAAAAGAGGCTCATCGACATTTTTTGAGTTTTACACCTTATTATGCTAAGTTGGTGTTTCAAACTTTAAGGCAAATCATCCCAGTGCTTTTGGAAGTTGATAAACGGGGCTCATTCCGCTTATATTTCATAAAATTATAATCCCGTACAGGAATAAAAGGTGCTGAC